AAGGGAGAACAAATTAATGCAAGAAAGTTTGTCCGAGAGAAAGCAGGTTAGATCGTCAGCAAATGCAGAATACTTAACCCCCTTGCCCTGAATGTGAATTCCATGAATAGAGTCATCACATCGCAGTGAATTCAAAACTAATTCAAGTGACAAAATAAAGAGGGCGGGCGAAACTGGGTCACCCTGTCTAACTCCCCTTCTTATATCAAAATAACCAGTGCTTAGACCTCGGTTCATCACACAGCTGGAGGGGTTATTGTAAAATAATTTAATCCAGTTAATCCACTTTAAATACTATGCAAAAATTTTTTTGGTTGATTTAATATTAATCTAATATTTATTATATAGAATATTTCTCTGAAAAATAATAAAAGTTTGTATCAGTGAACAGTTTTTTAACCCTCTGACAACTTTTGTCATCTTCCGCTGTAAAATAAATCTACCGGTACATATTTGTTTCAAAAATTTAAATAATTGGAAATTACATCTACATGTATTTGGTCCAAAACTAACAAAGACATTTTAGGAAAATACATAAAAAAGAGCAAAAATATTGAAAATAAATGTTTTTACAGTATTTATAGCAGAGTGAAAATATGCTTATATAAGTAAAAATATAAGCAAAATTATATAATTTTGAATTCATGATCAATACACGTGTCATGTTCTTCATTTATATTTGAAATGTGATTTCTCGCATCCACTACTCACTATTTGAATCTCTTCTTCTTGAGTGGTTAAGTTTTCTACTGTTAGCACCACTATATTATCTGTAATATTTTGGTATTAGCAAATTCATTTGGTGGTGTCCCTTATCTCTATATTTTATTTTTAACTTGCCCACCAATTAAATTTGAAATATTTTAACAATACAAACGTGTGCCAAATTTTCACTGTTTTATGCATTGCAGCACCAAAAAAAATCAACACAGATGACATTTGCATGAAATCAATTATTATTATTTTTCCATGCATCTTGCAAGCCTTTTTAGCTCCGCTGTCGACTTTGCCGTTCTCATATGAGTGTTTGTTCTCCGTTGTCCGTGTCAACGTTTTAGCTCCGCTGCCGACTTTGTCGAGCTGAGCTCATCATATGAGTGATTGTCCGTCAGCGTCCATGTCAACTTTTTACTTTTTCGACTTCTTCTTGAAAACTACAAGCCTGATTGCTTTGATACTTGGTGTATATGTACCTTGGGTAGACTTCTCTCAGATTTGTTCATTTCATGATGATATCATATATATTTTGTCATTTTTAGTAAAAAGTAATTTTTCGACTTCTTGTTAAAAACCGCAAATCTGAATGCTTTGATGTTATACATGTAGGTACCGGTACCTCAGATAGACCTCTCTCAGATTTTCTAATGATATCTTCACTTCTTTAATTGAAATGTGCATTGTTAACAGCGAAGCTATCTCAGCCAAGAGGCTGCTTGTTTTTAAAGCAAAATAAGGTGCATTTGTATTGTGAAATACAGAATGTGTTGCCCCTGGGAGAAACTCCCATTATCCATGTTGAATCATAGACCCTATTTTATGGTCAAATCAAATAGATTATATTGAAAATACTGGATGTTAACAATGGTTGTATTTTCAGTTGTGGGCGAATATATTCCTGAGCATGGCCAGTCTAGTTATATGTATGCAGTTACGTTTCCTCTACAATGAAATACAGCGGAGAATTAAAAAACATCGGAATTACAGACGAGTTGTCAGTAACATGGAAGCCAGGTAGGTAGAATAGAAATGTATACTCACCCACTGCTCTAGGCAGCTGTTTCTACTGAATGGCAAAAAACTAATATGGTGAAATATGTCTAAACAAAACACCAAAGGACTGAGAATAGTGTTGCCTTTATAGAGGTATTCAGTTTATAGAGGTCATATATATATTAGCAAATCTCACATGGTTCAGTGTTAAGACAGGTGTTGCTATATATGGTCAGTAGTATTATGCAAATTTTGTTGATGAATATACAGCTACATTATATGTATGATTTTAATTTTAATTTTCATAGTTAGTGTCAGCTATGCAAGTGTTTGTTTTTTCTATTGATGTTATGTACATAAATCAAATGAAGCTATTTGGCCATAGAATCATTTTTGTGAGTGCATGTACCACTAATAGAGCAAATATATGCTTGATGGATCATCTCATTTCTAACGTTACTAACTAAATGTTGACATTCCTGTAGATTCTCCCCTGCCAGTGCCGAAGAGCTTGCCGCCAATGACGATGACTGTGCTATTTGCTGGGACAGAATGGCCTCTGCCAGAAAACTTCCATGTGGTCATCTTTTCCACAAGTAAGTTTCATTCCTAGGTAGAAAAATGCAGTGTGCATTGTAATGGTTTATTATACAATATAACGGCTTGCACTGTAATCTTTATCATTGCTGTCAAATTCTTCACTTCCCCTGTAGTGGAAGTCTGTCTTTCTTAATATTAGCCCAACATATTTCTATTTCAGTTTAACTTCTCGTTAATATTTCTAGTTCTTGTCTGAGATCCTGGTTAGAACATGACACGTCATGTCCCACATGTCGTACGTCATTAAACGTGTTCCCTGGAGGTTCGCTGCCAGACTCGGATGATGAGGTAGAAAGACCCACTGTCAGACCGCCAGCACCACGTCCTAGGGTTATTGTCGGTAATCGACAACCTGTCCTGCTAAGAGGTCGTCGAATGAACCGAAGAAATCATATTTTCCATTTTGACGGTAAGTGACCAAACCTCAAATTGATGTTCATCTATAGTGTTTGTTATTTTACATGTAGGGGAGGAGTGGTAGGTGGCCACAGTCTGAGGACGACTATACATAATATAACTATTCAACTTTTTGAATAAATCTGCCTTGCATTTCAGGTTCTAGGATTGCCAGCTGGATGCCTAGTTTTTCTGTGCAGGTTACCCATACCCAAATGTTGGGACCACAGATGAGAGTCGTTAATTCGCAGTTAGATAATATGGTCAGTATTTCAGCAATTCGTATACTTTCCAGTTTAAAGAGCGGTAGTTGTTACGCAGAGTGTGTTTGAATTATGTGTAAACTAGTGTATTTTACATGCAATGTATACATTGATGTGGGACCCATAGCAAACACGACAACAACCACTACCCTTTATAAGTAAATATCATTTTGTCTAGAGTTCAAATTTGCGCTAAAAATGTTTTCAAGTACACCAAGTACACCAAATTCACTCTGATCTCTCAAAACTAATTTTTAAGGAGTTCATGCGGTAATACGGTAATAGTAGAAACCAAAATTTATGCTGTAGTGTTCAAGTTTGACACATCAATGTATTCAATCATTTTTGTGACATTGAAAAATAGTACAACTTTGGTTTCAATTCCTAGATAATCCATAATATTTTGATATTGTATTTTAGGTGTGCATTTACATAAATAATAGGTGTGTCTCTGGTTAAAATAAGTTGTATTATAATAATGCAACATACACCACATGTAATTTTTAATTTATTGAGTACTCTATTGAAGATGCATTTCAAATATGGTAATTTAAAATTAATAATGTAAATGATTCAATTTCATTTTAGGTTCACCAAGTACATACAATGTTCCCACATGTTCCAATCAATGTCATTCAAAATGATATCAGAATTACGAGATCTGTTGAACTGACGGTGGATAACATTCTAGAAGGAAGAGTAGAGGTACCCCCTATACCGGTAAGCGTTGTCAAGACGACCAACATGTTGCTTTGTAGAGGACTGTAAAGTGGGAGGAGAGTAATTACCTTGCCCGTACCATCAAAGATGGAAGGGAAAGGTATATTAAGGGAAAAATTTTGTCCGGCATTGTCGTTGTTGTTGTCGTCGTTGTCGTCGTTAATAATTGTTATTGTGTGCATAATAACTTTACTAATTCTATTCCAAACTTTATCAAACTTGGTCACCTTATTCATCAGTATAAAGTCTTCCCTGAGTTTGAACAACAGATGTCCTGTATGAAAATATCATGCAAAAATTGAGAAAATCTGATAAAATATTTTGACTGTTTCTACTTGACTGATCACTGGTGATACACATCAAAGGTCACTGATCTCAGTGGAAATATGCATTGTTGTATGTTGTATGTTGTATCTTGTAATAATATCCTTGGTAATGTATCTCAGAATCCCATACTGGGTTTCAAAACCAACTCATGGAGAGATTGCACAGTCTGATACACATTTGCAAACCTACCAATAAAATCTTTACAGAAAACAAGATGTCAGAAAATCAATATAAGCACTCCTATGAACTGGGTGCCTAACTTTGATCAAGATCTGAAGCTAATAGAAAATCTGTTTAGTTCAAAGTTATCAAATCAAAAACAATACATAAAAAATACATTAAAAGCAAAACATTTCATCCACATTTTAAAAAGAAAATTATTCTAAAATATATGTATTCTGTATTTGACAAACAGTTCATTCGACAAATGAAAACTCACAGGAATATGTTTCAGCTATTAGAACAGAATGATAGAGTTTTTATAATACTAGTTTAAAAACGCACTTCAAAGATTGCAGTGTTTGAAGATGTAGATTCTCAGAGACAACAGTACTGTTGACTTCTCCCTCCACTGGACACCAACTAACTATTTAA